CCCCCCCCCCCGGAGCATAATTCTCTGTATTTTCAAAGTACCATGGACTGTAAGAACAAAAAGACACTGTAAGAGTGCATGAGCCTGACCTGATGAGACCAAAAGCCTACTTCGTCCTGAACCTTTGTTCCACAGTGGCTAACCCAATGTCTTCTGGAGGCCCCCAAACAAGACAAAGTCTTTTTCATGACTTAATATATCTGTGAAGATTCTCAGCCGTCCAGGTAAGCTTATCTGGAAGCTGAGTCATGGCAACTGGACTTCTTTCTTAGTAGGTTGAAATGTTTCACTTCTCATAAACTGAGGCTGCTATTTGCCTTACAGAGGGATAAAATATGGTTATGTCTTGAACGTATTTGTAGAGCTTCAATTGTTTCTTGAAGTTCATGGTTTCAGACAAAGACTTAAGTCTCTGAATTCAAACAACTAGGCTAGGCACAAACAGGACACCCTTTAAAAAACTTATGCCAATATTGTTCAGAAATGTTTGGCTCTGAAATGGGGAGACTTCACACCTGCACCCAATGAATGACAGCTCCTCCTCAGGAAGATTGGCATTAGCAAAACGTTTCAACCTAAGAAGTCCAGTTGCCATGACTCAACTTCCAGAGGCTATAGATTAACTTCCTCTGTATTTTTCCCACCTCAATATTTTAAAACTCCTTTTGCATGTATTTCTGCTAGCATTCTTATATCCCTATCACTTATAAAATTTATTTCCAATACTTTTATTTCCCTTTCCAAACTCCCCATGTGTTTAATCCTCTGCTTTTAAAAATATATATGCTTTCTTAATGTTTATTCTTCTTATAATACCCTTCATTGTATCCCATGCTAAACTTTCCTCTTTATTATTAATCTCCCATATTTCCTTCATTTCTTTCTCTATTTTATTTATTTACTGGAAAATGCTTATATCAATCCACCATCTTTTAGATTCTTTATAGTCACACACTTTTGAAGTCAATATTTACAAAGGCATGGTCTGTCAGTTTTATCAAACCTACAAGAATAATATACTTTAGAAAACAAATCATTAGATACAAATATATAATCTACCCTATAGTAAATGTTGTGATCTGAAGAATAAAAGTGATTTTTTTTCACCTCCTTTCAACTCCCTCCATACATCTTTTAAATCAATTTTATTACTATTTTTGTTCAATATTGTACTACTACATGTTCTTTCATCTTTTGTAGGATTTAGCTCATCTTTCACTTTGTCCAGGAAGATATAATTTGGTTTGCAAAACTGTGAAAAGAAAGCAACTTCCTCTGGAGAAACAAGAGCCATATCTCTGTTTAGTGTGATATGAGGTTGTAGGAGTACTACCAAGTGTTAGGTGTATCTTACATTGATGAATGTTGCTTGGAAATGATGGGTAGACTCTTGACAGGAAGGAAGGAGGAAGGATTAACAGAAGCTGAATGGATACCTCTTATGTATCTTACTTTCTTAAAGACAATACTGACCACCATCCTATTAGGATTTTACTATGCAGTAATGAAATTGTGTAAGCTAGGATAACAAATTACAACTAGTTAGCAAGCTGCTGACCATGGGCCTGGTTGTATGCTCAGTTACATGGATTCACATGAAAAAGCACGTGACTGGCATCTTCTTAATTAGTTGTACTTTGCAAAATAATTTAGCAGTAGGACCCTGTCTTATGACATCTGTAAATGCATAATTTTCAAGACAGCATTTTTTTTTAAAAAAAATACCCTGCCTGAGGGGAAGAGATGATTTTGTATTCATTTGCCAGAAGGGAAGTATTTGATCTGCATGCACCAACATTAATGTGCCCGTGCCCAAAGGAAAGCCGAGGCTCTGTGGTACAAATATTTGAATAGCAACTATCCCATGTTCAGAAGAGCACAAACAGTCTTAGCTATAATGCTGAAATAGCCTGACCACAGTCTCAGTGCTTTATCAGTCCTGTATACAAAGCCTTCCTTGAGGAACCTTCTTCACCTGGCATTTGTTAAAGGAGGTTCCACTGGCTGACGTCCAAGCAGGCACTGTATATCCTTGTGTCACGGAACTGACTTCCTGGTTTCTGCCCTCCCTTCTCTTAGCAACTGGGACACAGGGAGAATTATCTGAGCAAAACTGTTGAACCACATTCGGGTCATTAACCTTTTTGAATGTGACGCAGGTGTAAGTCAAAGACTGAAGAATTAATTGATACAGAAAATATTTTTATGGTAACAGAACTGGAGCTGTTGTTTTGCAGAGATTATAACCACAGAGAGGTACTGATAAAAATTTTTTTGTGAATAACACAGAACTATGATATTCAGAGCAAAAACTATTCCAAAACATTAACCCACAAAGTAACTAGTATCAGCTTGAGAAACTTTGTATCTCAGACACAACAGGGCCGAGTCAGAACCTTCTGTCCATTGGCCAGTTACATTAACAGATATAGGTCAAGGCCCTAGAGACCCTCAGTCCAAAAAACTTAAATATGGTGAACACAAGATTTAACTACACTAAGGGAGAACAGTTCTGCAACACTGCACTAAGAGGCCAATGTATAATAAACAACATTTCCTTGCAGCTGTATAAAAATATACCTCTGGTGGCCTTTGTAGACTAAGGATGCTAAGCTCTGAAAACGAAAGCTGTTGTTTGGCTTATGGAGAAGAAATTTCTACACATTCTTCAGACTCGTCCCTCAGATTTCAAAATTTGACTTTTAAGCACCAAGTAACAATAAACCTGCATCCATTTCTAACTGTCGTATGAATAGGAGAGGTTAAGATGGCTTTCTTTACTCATTTGTACGTTTAATATATGCACACCTACTCTGTTTCTCAGTCACAATGAGGACCATTTTTAATACCACTCAGTTATAACCTGGGGCCTCTGCCTGGAAAGCATGTGCTTTTACCAAGGAAGATTGGCATTCCAAACCATGTACAGTTCAGTGGCTCCAAGGAAGCTTTGAGAGCCCTGTATCAACTTAAACCAGAATTGTTCAGTTACAAAGTCAAATAGCTAGGCTGTGTATTTTATTCTTTCCATATGAGAGACGTTTCTCTAATGACAATCAAAGTGACCATGCAGTCATTTACCCATCTGAAACTTCTGTTATTTCACTTCTCTTGCTGTTGGCAGGAGTCTTGCTGGCCTTTCCAGTCAACATGCATCAAGGAAAGATACACCTAGCACTCTGTAGTACTCCTATAGAGCCTCGTGGCGCAGTGGTTAAACTGCTGTACTGCAGCCAAAACTGCTCACGACCTGGGGTTCAATCCCAGGTAGTGGCTCAAGGTTGACTCAACCTTCTATCCTTCCAAGGTTGGTAAAATGAGTACCCAGCTTGCTGGGGAGGCAATGTGTGGCCTGCATAATTAACTTGTAAACCGCCCAGAGAGTGCTTGAAGCACTACAGGGCGGTATATAAGCAGCACACTTTGCTTTTTTTGCTTTGCTTTTTATACTAGACAGACCCTGAGGTAAGAACTAGAATTGTTTGGAAATTTTTAAGAAGGACTAGTAAGCCAGAAGCTCTGCTTTTACCCAACAAGCTTAAATATATAATCCTTCCATCTCTTTGGACATAGCATACCAACTCTGCAGCTCTGCAAAGGCCTGCTTCATTTTCTTAATAGAGATGTCCATTTCTTCTTTAACCACAACACGATATCGAGCCAGTGAAACAGTACAGCGTTGGAGGTCTTTCACTGATTTTTCAATATTGGAACCTATTTAAAGTGAAAAATACACAAAAACAAAATGTTTATTTAAGATTTCCAAGAAATTTTCTGAATTACAGACTGTTTGCAATGACTGCCTCAAAAGTCTGGATTCAGACACGTTAGATATTTCTTTCCAGAATAAGTCTAGATATTCACTAAAAACACCTTCTTTGAGAAATAAAGCAGAATTATACAGGGAGAGGAAGAAGCATCCAAATATGAATCAAATGTAAAAAATTGGTGTGTGTGTGGAGGGAGGAAAAGCAGCAAATAAACAAAACACACACACACCCAAAGAGTATTATGCTAGCAAAAGTGTCACTTGGCATGAGATTTTGTGGACTGCAGCCATGAAGGCTTATGCTAAACAAAACCTTAGTCTTTAAGATGCCAAAATATTCGAAACTTTTTAAATTTCAGAATATCTCCTCTGATAAACTCAATTCTGTACAAGAACTCTTTCTTCAAGGGAAAAGATGTAAGGCGTAGCTGCTTATTACAAAGGTTAGACTTTCTGCCTTGTATCTCCAACAGAGCATGTCTCTGTGCTTATTTCTGTCACTGGGATTTGCTGAAGTGCTCACCCCCTGTTAAGCTGAACTGCCAGTTGCTTGTTATGCCCCTTGTTATGGTGAGAAGGTGAACTGCTGCCACCAGGAGCTGGATGTTCATATCTCCCCAAAGCTACAGATAAGGACCATGTTTAGAAACAAGGTCTTGGAGGTCCTTTCTTGCTGACAAGCAGAGATAGGTAGAGAGAAGACCAAAGGAAGAAACTGGAAGAGGCTGTCTCTTCTCATTAGTTACTGGAGCTCTCTAAAATTCTCACTCAGGAACAAGGGGAAAAAGGGTACAAAAACTCAAAAGACTTTCTAACAAGGGATATAATGAAACATATATGGGGATATATGTTCTCTATCCCTCTAACAAAAGCCAGTGTGGATACAGCACTAGAGTTAAACTCAGGAGACCTATGTTAAAATTCACACCTGGCCATGAAAACTCATTGAGAAGTGATATGGCAATGGTAAAAGCACTCCTTAGCTATCTCACATTTCTTGAAAATCCTATGTCACCATACGTTGGATGTGATATGATGGCATGTAACAAACTATCCCTGTAATTGATTAGGTATCAACAATAAATAATTATTTAAGAATGTAAGAGTAAGAATGCCAGCTAATTAAAGGATTTCAGCCACCAAATCTCATTTTAATTTCAGTTCAGCAGAAGGAAAAACAGTTAAAAGACAAGCTATCATCTATAGGCTGCCCAACAGAAATGCTGCATTCAGAGAGCTCATAAACTTCCCACCACTAGGCAATCTAATTAAGTTCTGTTTCAGCTGACTCTGTCTGCCTAGCGTGTTCTGCAAATTAATCCCTAGCTTCCTCAATACATTCTGTACCTTATAAGAGTTCTCTGTAACCCACATGGAAACCAAATTGGAATTCAAATGGAATGGGAAGGAGACATCCCTCCCTCCCTGAACCTGACTTGTTCTCACAGCAGCCAGGTAATAAGCCTGGGCTTCTGCCCAGCAGTGTTGTGTGCAGCTTCTCACCGAGATTCAGTTTCTCCTGAGCCAACATAAAGCTGAATAAGAGCTATGCTGCAACAAAAGTTTGATATTAAAGCAAGCACGGGAGTTTGCCAGCACTGATTGCAGAGGAACAAGTGAGAGCTGACTGGATTAAGAAAAAACACCTAAGCAATATGCTACAGTAACCAAAAAGGTGAAAAGAAGAGATTCACAACTAAAATTTACCAGCTTAATAATTACAACAAATCTGATCTTGTATCATGGTCCTTTTGTATCCATTCAGGATTTGCCCAGTGAAGGTAAGAAATGACCAACAGTGTCATGAGCAGCCACAGACCCCACCAGGCCTACCTAGCTTTTTGTTTCCAGAAGACATAGGAACCTCATCTAGCATCATGAGAGACGAAGAAGCAGGTAACTGGTTGCTTGAGGCCGGTCTGGAGAGTGGCTTGCCAGGGCTCCTCAGTTCAGGCTGCACTCTAGCAGACGGGGTACTTTGGGAAGACCGCATGGTGGCAGACTTTGGAGTGAGGTCTGTTATTCCATTTTCTAGCTCAAGTGCTGCTGAAGAGGGGGAAAAGTTCACAAGACAGTGTAACAAAGTAGAAAACCATGAAGGGGTTTACACCAGCTGGGGCTCTCCAGCTATTTTTCTACATCTTGAACACAGCTTTCCATCTACGGTACAGCATTTCATAGTTCTAGCTGCTGTGAATAACCCCACCCCCTTACCAGAACCTCTTTAATTTCCATCACTAAAAAGTCACTACCAATCCAAGCTATGCACTGTCAAGTGAAACCTGATACTACAACACAAACATCAGACATCTACAGTATCTTTCAACCTGCTCCTGTCCTCACCTCTTTTCCCACTCAGAACCAGTAATTGTTACAATACTGTTTTTAAAAAGATTGGGCAGCTGGACAGCAAATAGTTCTTAACTTCTTTGTTCTGGTAGTTAAGTGTGACAGAAGCAGAACAAGGGAGAGAACAGGCTCTCCTACTTTTGTCACACGCATAAATGTAACAGTTCTGCACTTCTCCAACAGTCTGATAGAGAACTAACCTGCCCTATCAGGCACCTCAGGCATAGCAGGTTCACATTCCTCGATCTCTCTGGCATCGATGGAAAGGGTATCCAAGCCTTCACTGAGGGAGTCCACTGACTCTGTGTCGTTGGCCGAGCCATTGACATGGTAACCGTTGATGCCACCCCTCTCTGATGAAGCTGCAGATTGTTCTTCTTCAGTGGGTATTGGCTTGCTTGGGTCAGGAAGGCTGGCACTTGATTCTGCAGGTTTCGGTTTGGTTTTCTTCTTTTTGTTCTAGGGATTAAGAAAGAAAAGAAAAAAGAAAAAGGAGGAAAAAGGACTATGCTTAATTCCTGAAACAAAACCCAAGATTGTCCTTACCACTTAAGTATCAGAGAATTAAACAGGAATCAAGTCCTTGGCATTGATTCCTTAAAGTGGGTTGGGGTTGGATTTATTTAACAATTAGAACTGACAATCTGAAATTAATAAATATGAAGTGTACTTGACATGGCAACTATGCACAAGAAAAGGTTGTACTGCAAGACAGCATTAAGCATACTATTCAACAACCAATTATTTTTAAGGACTGACTATACTTAAGAGATGAATACATTTCACAATCCTGTGCAAATGCAGAAAAAGCACAGTACAAGTCACTGTATGAAGAATGCTTTGCTACATATTAGTAGTGAGAGGCACAGCTGAATCAGCTTTCCAGTGGTCAGGAGATGAGGCTTTTTAACTTGTTGTATCTTCTTAACATTTTCAAATCATATGAAACATTATTTACACTGGTACAGAGAATAATTGCCAGCTATTCTTGTACAAAAAGCAAGTTATATTATTGTAGGAAACGTTTGTTTTTAAAAGGTCTTGAGTACATGTAGACGTGACTAGATTCACATTTTATGGATACTATGGAATTTATTACAGATTCTCTGCCTTTTCCAAGTACAGTACAGCCTCTAAATGTTTACTTTTCCCTCCTATTGATGATCAAAAGATTTCTGTCAGTTTCTATGAATGCCTTCTAGCTGAACTACTGAGACAAGGCTCTTATGTGATTCTATGTTCAACTCCATCTGACCTTATATTGCCCATATTTTACAGAGATAAGATAGTTTATAAATACTATCCTATCAATAAACACAGTACACTTAATTATATTCTAGCATCAGTGGTGACAATGCTCTGGCAATGACTGGCTAATATTCGCAAATGTCACAAATGAAACACACTAGAAGAGTGTCTGATTATCATCTATAGAATTGTTCAGATTGTAAAGAGGGAGAGGTTCGTAGAGAATGATAAAGATTCTGAACCAATGAAGCAGATACAGCTGCATCTAGGCTTAGCATCTCTTAGCAGAAAGAGGTTTTGAAACCAGAAAGCTGCTCCTGAAAAGACAAAAATCAAAAAGCTACATAGGTGCTAAGAAATACTTTCCTGGGATTACATGTAAGTAGACAGGGGTCAGAAAAAAATAAGGAACACTGAAAGCAAAAAGGGAGGCAAGCACATATTACATTTATTAGGCAGATAAAGGTAAAGGTAAAGGTTCCCCTTGACATTTAGTCCAGTCGTATCCGACTCTAGGGCGCGGTGTTCATCCCCGTCTCCAAGCCGCAGAGCCAGCATTTGTCCGTAGACAGTTTCCGTTGTCACATGGCCAATGTGACTAGACACGGAACGCTATTACCTTCCCACTGTGGTGGTACCTATTTATCTACTCTCATTTACATGCTTTTGAGCTGCTAGGTGGGCAGGAGCTGGGACAAGCAATGGGAGCACACTCTGTCGCGTGGATTCGATCTTACTACTGCTGGTCTTCTGACCCTGCAGCACAGAGGCTTCTGCGGTTTAACCTGCAGCGCCGCCACATGATGGTTTCATCTGGAAACTATGGCATATAAGTAACATTCCGTAGCAATAATTAAGTTGTTTTTAATTTTTTATTCCAAAATCAGATAAAGGCAACCAATGAGACCAGGCTCCTAGATCAATGTCTTGTAGAATAGAGAAGTATCATAAGATATTCTTTCATTGTCTTTAACTATATAACTCTAACTGAATGAGGGTGATAGAAGAAGATGGACTTAATAAGCTTCAAGATCTTTAAGGATTCCAAGTGAAGGCAATACATAACTTCCAAAGAAAGGTCAAGCCCAAATAAAGAATTACCTTCTTCTTTCCAGTTACTGTCCATTCTTTCAACACTGCACTGGCACTTCCTGTAAAAGCAATAACAAAAAATTACAAGGATAAATAGATTTTGGCTTATGTACTCTTGATGTGTTAAAAGCAGAAACCCTAAGCAATTGATATAGGAAGGAAAAAATACAAGAAACAAGGGTAAAGATGCCCTTTCTAACTAAAGCGTGGAAAGTTGAGTATCCTCCTACTCTTCAATTGCACCCTTTTAAAAAGGGGAATGGAGTAGTATGAAAAGAAAAGGTGCAAGAATGTGTTTCCAGATGGCCCAAAGGAAAACGAAGTAATGAGATTTTGCATTTACTGGCACATTTCATTGTAAGTGTGGCCTATTAGATTTTGAGTACCTCCACAAATATTTTAAGGCAGCTGCATAACTCAAACAAAATGATTATGCTTACTACATATGGCCAGATTGAAGGATTTTTACAATTCTAGTTTCAGTCACATACAGAAAATGACTTTTTCATAAGTCTTAAATAGACCCTGAAAGAGACATTAAGAAAACTATATTTAGGAAGATGAATGAAACCAGTGTGCTGTTCTCTTTTTTCCCCTGAGAAAAGCTACTAAAAGCTTCTACACAGGTTGTCTAAACACAATCAACACTATTTTGTAAGCAGTGTGCACCCTTTCCAGGGTTTTCTAGGCACAGAGTACTCAGAAGTGGTTTAACATTCCTTTCTTCTGGGGCCATCCTGGCACTGTAAAGCTTGCCCAAGACTATACAGGCTGGCTCTTTTGGGATGCAAGATGAGGAACTGAACTCCCCACCATGGGTTCTGCAGCCAGATACCAAATCCACTGAGCTATCCAGTCAGCTAACCTCAAGTTACTTGATGGCATTTAAATTTTCATCAATTTATATAAAAAGATACAAAGAAATAAAGCAGAAATTTTGGAAAACTGCATTTCCATGAGCATATCATTCCATGCAGAATGGGGACTCTTACCTAAACCAATAGTTTAACAACCTAAGTGTACACTCTTCCTCTCTCCAAAGCAGAAGAAATTTCTGGTCCTAATAGTTGAAAGTAAAACCTAAAATCATACTTGAGATTTCTGCATTAAAAAGTAATGCAGAAAATTACACTTCCCATATGAAAAAATGTCTATATTCAAGCATGCAAATCATATCGTATCTATTTTGCCACAATTATGCATGTTTGCATGCAGTAAAATATCTGTCTGAAAGTTAATTTCTGCTATAATCATAGTAAATAGAGGGTTGTGAGACAATAAAGAGCTCTGTACACATTTTCCTTTCTACATGGAAACTATATGTGTAAAACATGTCACCTGTAACATCTGTAACACCGAGGTGAAAACCAAATAAAATCAAAACAAATTCCAAGAAGGAAGTCACAGAATAAATACCTTACTCTAAACAGTTATTATGTTGTGTTCCATTTCTTTTCCAGCCTTTACTAAACACTAAACTCCTATTTCCAAACTCCTGGCAAGTCCCTGTCCCTGAAAAATGTGCATTCCAAATAAGCAAAAGACAAAACAGAACACCTTAGAAATGTGCATCAACAGACTTAGTACATAAATTATGTCAATATTTTAAAATGAGAAATCAGTCCGCTTCATGAAATTTGTTTTGATCACGTATTTGGGGTTTTAAAGTCTAGCAACTAGAACTCTTGCTAAAAGAACTCACCTTCCATGAAAGCCTGTACTGTTCGGTCTACACAGTTATCAAAGTGCTGAAGCACCAAGATAATTTCATTGTTGCTGCGGTTGGGGACTATTGCTCTCACGGCACTGATCTAGGAAAAAAGGGAGATGCCAGTCACGTATTAACTGCTTGCTTCCAAGTCAAATATTGTCCCAGCTTTCCAACAGAGGAAACAAATTAAGTTTCTATTCTCCTAGCTAATGTCAGTTTCAGTTTTGCTCTGAGAACAGCCTATTAGTAATGTTTTCTCTGGCAATGTTTTTCAAGTCTTTCCCAAGGCAGCAAACTTGTCACTGATGCTACAGCTGGAAGCAACATGAGCCAATGGCCGTCATCAAGCCACCTGGGTTCCTCTTGCTTAAATTTTAGCTGTAGGGTTTATAATTTGACTCAATATGCTGCCTAATGGAGAGAATCTGACAGCAAACCCTGCTCTAAAATCAGTGGCAGTTTTTTTAAAAAAAAGTTAAAATGAAGTCATGTTTCAATGATAGCCCAAGGAGTTATCCAGGAAAAGGAGTGGGGAGAGACAGACAACACTACTGAGTTTTAGTTTCCAGTGAGGGAATAAGGGCCAAGAATCAAACACTGCAGCTAAGAAGCATGTCTACAGCAAGCAGAGAAATCATACACAACTTAAATCCCCATTTGTAGGATTTTTAACTTTATAACTTTCAGGCAGCAATATGCCATTCCAACCCTTAACTAAATAACTTCTCATTAATTACTTACCTTTTCTTTCATGTTTTCAAAGGTACCTCCTTGGGCCATTACAGTATTGGACTGTACATCAAAAATAAATCCTGATGAATCTGAAGCAGCAGAAGAGATTAATGTAGCGAATATGAGGCACTAAGATAAAAATTAAGGTCACAGACTACTAGATATGCACTGAGCTGTGCAGAAACATCATAAAAAGGAAGCTTAGATTATGCTGAAAGAATTCATCCACTCCCTGAAGAAAATTTTAGGTAGGCAGACACACCCCAGGAGACAGACAAAGAGCGAAGCAGTCCCACTACTGTACACACTGCTTTTAAGTTTAAACTCAGCCGCCTAGAGTGGTCGTTTGACCAGATAGGCAGGGTATAAATAAATAAATAAATAAAAATATGTGTGGCAAAATCATCATCATCTGTCAAGTTGATTCTGATTTATAGTGACCCTTTCCATGGCTTTCTAGATACACTTATTTCTGATCACTATTTCCTCCTTCTTGGGGCACTCTGCCACTGTGCAGGTTGCCCAAAGCAACTCAAGGTGGCTCTTTTCCCGTCTACAATTTTGAAAGTCAAAAGCTCAGACAAATATACTTCCAGAGATACTGAAGCTCATTCCACCATGCAATACTGATAGTCATTTTATTCATAAAACTTCACAGTCACTGAATAGTTGTGAGTCCTTATCTTTATTTTTAGAGTATTACACAACTAGCCTTTTTTTTTACTGGCAACTGCCCCCTCTCCCCATTATCACATTAAAATGCAAGGTCTATTCACATGAATACTCCTTGTTTGTTGAAGTTCCTGTTGTCAGCTGCATATGTGCCACCAACATTCAAGTCAGTTCAAATTAGTATCTAGCACATAACTGCCAAACTGGGTTGAGATAAAGCTGCTGCAGCAGCAGCAGGACACATACAGGAATCTGACCAGAGATTCATACAGCTGGAAGTCACCAAGGCTAACTGAAACATACAGCAGGATCCCCAAACTGAACAGATCTAATGCTGCTTTAACATGAAACATACTAGATTTTTTCCTATCTTGAGTTGTTCAGTTTTGCAAGACTGCTAAAAAGTTCATGGCATTCTACTTTGCTAACTGAGATAAAAAAGGAAAACAAACACACAGCAAACATAGAAGGATGATAACCCCAATGGAAAAAAATGTGAATTCTAACAGAAATAGCCTGATACCAATTACAGTATCTGGAACAGTCCCACTGCTACCTCTGATTTTCTTTGGTAATGTGAAGATAATCTGCAGTAAAGAAATCTACACAAGGAACCCATGTCAGCAGCAAGCTTTTCTCCAATATTTAATGTCTTACCATGCTGGATTTACAAAATGCAGAAGCTTGTAAATCATTTGTCAAGATCTACCAGTTGCTAACTCTGTTTAATTATAACTTCCAAGAAAACACCACACACATACCAAAAATGGGTGCTCTGATTCCTTTCATTCAATTGCTACTCCTATAACTAAGGAACTGAAGATGCAAGCGTGGAGTAATTCACCAATCCCTGCTTTAAAAATCCTTGTTGACCCCTAAAATAGGTATGTCGGTCTGACCTGGGAGTTGGCATCCAGCCTGTTCTGGGCACGGTTACGTTCAACGTACCCTCTAATTTTCAGCCCCGTGGGGGGCCTCCAACTCTCGCATGTGTGACTTCACCCCTGTGTTCATGCGCGACTCCGCCTCCCCCAGCACGCTAGTTCCATCTCAACCAAAACCTAACATGATTGCTGTGTGGAGGAGGAAGACAGCTGCGTGGAGGGAAGCGGAGTCATGTGTACGTGCCCAGCTTAATGGGAACTTTGGTTACATTTCTCCTAAAGGAGTAAGTGCCAAAGGGTTTGGGGTGGAGGGGTTATGACTTTCTCAGTGTAAAATCTGCAACATGAAGCCTTTTTCACTAGCTATCATCATTCCTGAACATACCAAAGTTAACTAAGCTTTTTAAATCCCACTTGGTTTACCCTCATGCATCATAGGGGGAAGAGGCTTGATGATTGCTCAGACATTTCAGTTAATTCAAAATAGACTATCTTAACTACTATGTCTGGGTAGATGGATATTTCTTTCTAAGTTTTCAAACAATGACACTGGGCAAAATCCTTTTGCATGAAGTTACACCATCATAAACCAGATCCGGGTGCAAGAAATAATTTAAGTTTACTGAATGCACCTATTCTCTACTTTTACATTTTGAGAGTTCACGGGACTCTTTTTTTGCCTTGAGGAAGCCTTTGGGAATCTTGAGACATGGTCAAAAATTCAGTCAAAAATTGCTTTCAGATCAATCCAGGGATCATCTTTGACTATAAAAGGCTCTCAACAGCATGGAGTCTAATGATCACCTTCTTCTAAATTATTCTACACAACTAAGATCTTTCTTACAGAATCTTATTTTTTGCACCATCCATTCTAAAAGCAAAGCTCTGGAAAATATTTCCCAGGGAAACTTGCCTCATTTCTCCTTGCTGCCAGACGCACACCATTTTATTTACTCAGGTGTTTCACATCTATACTTAAGGGAACTTTTAATTATTAGCTGATGTTTTTAACTTCTCAATCTGCTGTTCTACATCATTTTACACCATATTGCTTATTGTGTTGCATTGCTTTATAGAAATAATTTCCATATTTTTTCGTGTATAAATAATTAACCAAAAAATGAGGGTCGATTTATACATGGAAGGCAGCTGCTTTTCACTGCCTTTTGCGAAGCCACGGGGCTTAGCAAAAAGGAAGGGAAGTCTTCCTTCGGGTAAGCAGCGATGAAAGGGTTGCACGATCGCAGCCCTTTGATCCTGAAGCCCTTTCATGGCTGCAGCTTTTTTGCTAAGCCCCGTGGATTCGCAAAAGGCAAGGGAAAGTGGTGGTCAAAGGGAGCCTTTAGATCCCTGCTTTCCCCTTCCTTTTGCTAAGGTCCGTGGCTTAGCACAAGGAAGGGGAAAGCAGGGGTTAGAAAAGGAGGGGTCGTCTTATACATTGGGTTGTCTTATAAACATAACAAATACGTACGGTATATAAACTGCTGAGAATTTGGAACTCAAAAGCAGCACACAATTTTTTTAAAAAAATCTCCTTTGAGAAATCACAATTCCTGATTCTGTCATCCATTATCCATGACTATTAACTTCTACTAAGGCTGCAAGAGACTTAACTGTAAATGCAAATAAGATGTCCTGCTATCATTTCAGGCTGACTATATTTTCCTTTGATTGTCAACTGCTACTGTTGAAAACTTCATGAAGCATAAGGGCTTAACATTGGCCAATAAGGACAACTGAGATAACCACATTCTGTGACCTGGCAAGGAACTGAAACATGTCTGTTTTTCATGTCATCTTTCTAACAGCAGTTCTCTGAGGGGTCCAATATATATAGTGAGACCATCTGGAATTCAGTATAATCTATGATCCCATATTTCTTTAGTACAGCATTTTCACAACAGCCGTTCAGCATATAAACATGCTGCCCCTGCCTTGAAAACTTGTCCAGTAGAACCTCTCTGGAAGCCAAATAAAGGTTTTACAAAAGATCAAAGTCATTCCTCACTTTCTACAGCACAGTTGCTCCAGTTTCTATACCTTATCTCCATGCCCGAAGTTTAATGTCCACTCAGCAGATAAAAATATAACATGTACATTTTATCTCAAAATTCACGCATAAAGCCATAAATATGGCAAAGCTTTCCTAAATTTTAATAGATATAGCATTGTCCCTTCAATTTATATGGTTCAAACTTTGCAGGACTCACAGAAAATGTTGGCTATTTATTTATTTATTTATGGTTATATATATTCACAATACAACCTGCACACTTACAATTGAGGAGGGTGAAAAATCTGTTGTGGCTTAAAAGCAAGGACAACAATTTTTTTAATGAGATGTGACTGATTCCAGAGATTGTAACAATGCTCTTAATTTTTAAACTGCTCTGTTTGAAATGGAAACTGCTCTGTTGCCCTTTCAAACAGAGATAAAAGTACCTGCAAGAAGATGCCACAAATCATGCTAATCTACCTTAATTTAATTACTGGCTTTCATACAAAACTGACACTAAATGACAAAAGACTGGAAAAATCTATCGATCACAGCAACTTATTAACATGTCTGTTATTGGTTTCTTGGGAAAACTTTTTTTTAAATTTTATTTTAGTGCCAAGTCTGTCAAACTTATTTTGGGTGATAACAATATCACCCGAAGAGCCATATGCCACTTTATATATTTTACACACAACTGAGCAAAGAGTTGTCCAAAAAACAACAAGCCAACACTGAAGAATACAGTTTGGGAGTACCAAACGTGTCTGCCAACATCCCTTATTCAATCCATCCCCAAACCTTCTAATAATGCCAACCAGACTATTGCTTCAATAGCACCCTATTCACCTCCAATCTATGACTGCATACTGTAAGATTGGGTGGGGCATTTTATAATTACTGAAGCACAGAAACTCACAAAACAGAAACATCTTAGCAGTGCCTACTGTAATCAGTATAAACCTGCCACAGGTTTTGGCCGTAGGTCATACCCCATTCCCGTCTCTGTCAGCAGGTCTGAAGTTGCACAAGAAAACAAGTTTGTATCACTGCCAGTTTACCCTGACCTTCCCATGTCACTGACTAAGCAGGGAGGGCAAGGGTCAAAATAGAGATGAACCTTCCTCACCTTTTGACAGCAATTTTGCTCAGTTCCTGGCTCACTTGGAAGTAAGCCAACAACATAGATTAGTGACTGCAGCAAAAGGGTGAAAAAAGCAGCTGTACTAAAAGTGGCCTTCAACACTGTTGTTAAATTGGTCGCTGTGACCATCTGAGAACTGGTACAACAGCAGTGCACAGAATTTCTTCATATTATGTCCTATTTTTATAAAACTAAATTAGGAGAGAGCAAAATGAGACTTACTGTTAATACATGCAGCTTCCTACTATATAACTGGATAGACAATAGTTTTCTGTTTATTACCTCTCCTAACACCTGTCTAAGCTATACATGTGCTTCTGACAAGTGAAAATACCAACATATGGTTTTAAAAGTACCAATTGTGCAGCTGCCTAGTATGTGTTAGTATGTTAT